GCTATAGAGGACAGGTAAAGTACTTTGATTCTTCATGTGTAGTTTTAATTTGAGAATAATATTATTTCAAGGGAAAGATACATGATAATTGATGGTGTTACTGATGTCATATGTTTTATGTAAGGTCAGTAAATGATGACTATGTCATTTCAAGCTATATGTATAGGAGGATTCAGATTGATTGGAAGGGGTCTGCCTTTTTATAAAGGAAAATGAAGGTGTTCAAGAGTTCAGTGAAATATACAAGATTTTCTGATAAAATGATGTTAATGGAATTATCGATTTAGTCAAGAGTTACAAAGGTCTCCTTTGTAATTATCAAAACCTTAAGGTAATGAGGATCGTTAGTTCAGGTAGTACAACTCTCTAACTCTAGATAAAACAAAGCCTTCACTATAAAAGAAAGTTTTAAAAATTCCTAGTTGGGTAAGTTATGTGACTTATTAAGACCTCCTGAGTTGTCATCAGAAACAGTTTTATGAGTCTCACAAATCTAACAAGAGCAGGGGAGCACCTGAAATAGAAAATATGTTCAGCCAGTATGAGACAGGCATAACCTTTTAGAGAAAGACAGCTTATTTCTTTTAATAGAAATGAGCCTTTTCTGTTCACTCATTCTACATATATGTGAGTGCTTACTGAATGAAAGACAGTGTTCTAAGGCAGTGCTTGAATCAAAGACGAAGGAGCTTATGGTATCAAAGTTTTATATGTAAGTATTCCCAATACATGCTAGATTTCATGTGGGGTACAGATTAAGGTCCAAAGTAGTCATAAACATAGATACAAAGGAGAGCATTAGTGGCTGTAATTTATTTAGATATTTATAAAGCCTATGAGTAAGTTATATGTCAAAGACAAATTAGTTCATGTTTAAGAAGATAACCAAAAAAAATCCAAATTACATTGTAATGATGGAAGGAGAGACATTCTAGTATGTTTAAAGGAATATTTGAAACAACAAATATGAGGTAGAAATAAAAGAACAATTTTTCTAATGAATAAGTTGATTCAGAGGCCAGTATTAACATTTTAAAATACATTCTTTGTGAGAAACTTACAGAATGGAGAAATGAGGAGTGTAGTGGGCACTTTCACCAACAAATAACCATTTAACTGGAAAAAGTTATTAAACCAAAACAAAACAGTCATTCTGAGTTCCTGGAAATTGCCCTAGGGGTATACAGAAAATGGAGAAACATTTATTCAGGTAATTTATTAGATCTCAGAAAGAACAAGAGTCTTTGTCATTTACCCTGCTCCCATCCTCCTCCAAGCTGTGTTTTATGAAAACTACTCTGGGAGTGCAAATCCAGGTGGATGTGGTCAAGAAGTTGGGGTCTCTATCTTCTCCTAGCTCCTAGTCTAGAGCTATGGTTTCACCTGAGAGGGTCAGGCCTCTGACATTTCTCATCTCCCCCAGTTCTGTCTTGCAGAAGCTCTATTCCAGACAGACCCAAGAAGGACTGGGTCTTTCTTCTCCTAGCTAGCTTTCTCTTCCCCTATCCAGCTCTAATTCATGGTGAAAGCACTGCCCTAGGGAAGGCATGATGACAATACTGGACTCCTGTTGCTCCAGCTCCAGCTTGCTTGTAGGACAGAGGTTTATGCCAGAAGAAGGAAACAAAAAACCATCCCAGCACCATTAATAAAAAAAGTTTCACTCTCCAAGAGTGAAACCACCTCTTCTTTAGGGAGAAAGACAGGCCTTAAATATAAAGAGCTCCTTAACTCTACCTGAAAGAACTGACTTTATGTGGAACAAATTATGGAGAATTCCATTTTTAAGGGCATTGTCAAAAATAAAGGAAATCATGGTGGAGAACAATTGAGATGGTACTCATAGCTCTACAATACAAGTTACAACAAGCAAAATAGCTGAGCAATCAGATGTTTTTTAACAGAGAGAACCAAGGAAAAAAGATAGTCAGGAAGAGCTTTCTTGGGGGTCACAGTCAATCCTGGGTTAAGAAGGCTATGCATAAGCACAAGGCTACACTATCTTAGGAGCAATCAGACCAGGACATAAAATGGACTTGAAAGCAGTCCCCAAGCCTCACACTGATCAAACAATAAAGAGCAGAAGCCTCAATGACACTAAGGCCTTAAGCACAACCTCTAACCAACCACTGACTGAACAATAAGGTATTCTGACCCAGGGGCAACTCCTAGGAAGCCAGGCTAAAAGTAAAATTACACATACCCTTGGTAGTCTGAAAGACTGTGTGCAAGTTCAAGGCTGTGCCTTCTCAGCAGTGATTGGAGAGGGAAAATTGAAATAACTACTACCTGGATGAATGTGAGGTAGAAACATAAATTTATTTAACTGTGATAGCAGTCTCTAGGACATACATCTAGAGTCTCTAGGACACACATACATCTAGTGGTAAAGGGTGAAAATCTAACTAGCTAACAGAGCTTTGAAAAGAACAACAGAAATTAAGAAAACAGTTTCATTTACAGTAGTTTGAAAAATAAAATATTTAAGAATAAATGTAACAAAAGTGCAAGCAAGATTTTGTGTACTGAAAACTACAAAATATTGTTGAATGAGGTTAATGATGACCTAAATAAATGGAGAGACATTTCATGTTTGTGGATTAGAAGATTTAATGCTGTTAAGATGGCAATACTCCCCAAATTGAGCTACAGATTGAATATAGTCTCTTATCAAAATATCAGCTAGCTTCCCTGCAAACAAGCAATGGAGGAAGGTGACAAAAAGAAGAGAGAAAATGCTAAGAAACTATGTAGTTGGAAAATAATTCCTAGTATGTAAACTCTAAATTAATCTTTACTAAATGAGTGAATACAGGTTTGGAATAAGAATTGATTCTTAGATGGAAGAACCAGAACTTTACTTATAAAACTAATAAGTATTTATAGAACCAATAAGTAAAATTCATTTACTTTTATCTCCACATAATTATTTCTTTTTGATTGGCTCTTATGTGCAAAGTTTTTGTTCCCTCATCCCCATCTAGCACAGTTAGTTAAGTGCCCTTCTCTCAAGGAGCTCATACTTTAGTAGGGAACCTGCGATACACACATACACACATGCATACATGGTAGAAAGTGATACATATATGACAAGGCTAAAGTGCTATAGTAATTCATAAGTACCATTTGAGCTGGACTTAGACATGCTCTAGGAATTCAGAAGTGAGATTTGAGCTGGACTTAGACATGGGAGCAATAAATAAAGATTTCAAATAGGGGAGTGGCATAATTAGAGTAGTGCCTTACTTAGGAAGATTAACTTGGCAGTGGGTGATCTGGGGATGAGAGAAGAGAGACTGGAGGAAGCCACTGCGATAGTCCAGGAGAGGTAATGAGAGCTTGAACTTGAGTATTGATAGTGGTAGAACTATGTAAAAGTACTGAGAGTTTACTGGTGTCTTAACACATATAGGAAACAGGAGAGGGAGCTAGGTTTGAAGGTAAAAATGAAAGGTCAATTTCATAAATACTGAGTGAGATATCAGTGGGACTTCCAGGAAGAAATGTGTAACAGGCAGTTGGAAATTCAGTACTGGAGATCGGGGCTGGGGGAATGACTTGGAAGTTACTGCCCAGAGGTTATATAACCAAGAGGTTGTATGAGATTACCAAAGGAAAAAAATTGTAGGTAGAGAATACAATTAAGGGCAGAACCCTTATACTGGAAAATGAAGAGAAGGCAGAAAATTTGACATTCATTTCCTTTCACAAAACTTTGTTGTTGCTATCTAGTATCATTTACCCTCTCTTTATACTTGGAAACTGATTGTTTTACTATCTTCCTCAGTACCAGAGCTAAATGGACCATCTGTAGTGGCCCTTACACGCATTTAATAATGGATACATTTGTTCTTACATAGCCCCTAAATCCTTTTGCTTTCCCACTAAGGCTGACACAACAAGATCTATTAAGATGGCAGACCAGTTTTAGTTCTGAGTGAACACTAGTTTTGAAGAAAACTCAGGATGTTATAATAAGCTAAGATTTGAGATGTCTTATAGATATTCTCAGAAATTGCAGAGAAATATGAGCAGCCTCAAAATACTATGACTTGCCCAAGAACATGCCTGACTCTTTCTCATTGAAAATTTGAAAGTCAATCTTTACCTTGAAATGTCTTGGTTTTCTGCAGAAGTGGCAGAATAGTTATAAGGATAAAAATGAGGGTCCCATCCTGCCATATGATATAAAATTGCCTATGGATTTCACTGGCACCAATTGTTTTGTTTGTTCCTTCAACCTTTAGTGCATATAGCAGCCAGAAATGGAAGGTGATTGAGGTCACCATCCTGGGAGTGCCTGTTTACCCCAACAGAGGGGATTCTTTTGCTATAGGGGGAAATGACTTGAATTGTTTGTTTCAGTTTCTTTGTTTATGACCAGGGCCCTGTGTTTTAATTAACTTTTACAAGTGAATAATGGGCAATAGCCACAATCCAGTTGGCTGGTAAAGGAATTGCATGGTGTTCGTTACAATATAAAAAAAAAAAAAAAGCATTAGTCTTTGTGCATAAGTCTTTGATACTGGAAGGTTTTTGTGACACTTTAAAATTAACGAGCTTGCTCAGTTCTCCTCCACATATTCCACTAGGCTTTTTATGGCCTTTTTTTTTTTTCCATTCTCGTATTAGGGGATTTTGTGTGTGTATTTTTTGTTTTCCTTCCTTGACTTGCATTTCTGAAACTTCTAAGTCAGGCTGGTTTTAATCCCTTTTTCAGAATTCTTACCAAGGTCAACCTGGTCCTGTTGTATCCAGATGCTGACTCTTCATACCTTTTGATTTCATATCTCTCTTAAGACCAATTGTTATATCAGCAAACTGCATAAGTGCAGAGGTGGGGGGTTGGAGGTAACCTGCATTCCTAACCTGAAATGAGCTGTGGATAACAACTAGAATCAGTTTTAATATGGGAAATTTGAAGAGGGGCTCTATAGGATAAGGAAATATTTGGCCTATGTTTTGACAGATTAAAATTTCATTTCCTCTCCTTCTTACAGTAAATACAAATGGATCCTGGGTGAGGAACCTGTGGAGAAACGAAGAAGGCTCCAGAATGAGATGACAACACCTCCACTAGATTATTCCATGCCTAACTCTTACAGGAGGGTAGAGGCAGCTGTTGCTTACCCAGAAGGGGAAAACAGCCATGATAAATCCAGTTCTGAGAGAAGCACACCACCATACCTTTCCCCAGAATACCCAGAAGCAAGCAAGAGTACCAGTCAAAGTAGGGAGGTTTCAGTTCTGTATTCAGGGGCCCAAGAACAACATCAGGGGTCCCTGCTCCCTGAAGAATTAGAAGATCAGATGCCAAGATTGGTAGCAGAAGAATCTAACAGAGGCAGCACAAACATAAACAAGGAAGAAGTAAACAAGGGACCTTTTGTAGCTGTTGTTGGTGTTGCAAAAGGTGTTCGAGATTCAGGAGCTCCCATTCAGCTGATCCCTTTTAACCGAGAGGAGCTTGCTGAGAGAAGAAAAGCAATTGAATCCTGGAACCCAGTGCCTTATTCTTCTGTGGCCTCTGCTTCAATCCCTGCCGCAGCCACTGGGGAGAAAGGGAGAGGCTATGAGGAGAGTGGAAGTCATAATATGCCAAAGATGAAGAACCAAAGAGAGCTGGAAGAACTGAAAAGAACCACAGAAAAATTGGAACGTGTTCTGGCGGAAAGGAATTTGTTCCAGCAAAAGGTTAGGGCAGCGCCTTACCACTGGGAATAAGAGATCACTGAAACCAAGGGATCAGAGAGTCTGATGAATTCACGTTCTGAGGCCTTTAAATAAAATAGGTCATTGAATTGCTCTGTGGTATGTCTCAGATTGGGTGAACCCTAATGGGTTTCCCTCCTATATTTGGGGATTGAAAAGGTCCATAAGTAGAGGAATATGTACAGAGGAATCACTGAGTGAATATATTAGGGACAACTTTTGTACTCTCGTAGCATGTGGGGTCATTGAATTTCTATTCTTGGACTGCAGGTGGAGGAGCTGGAACAGGAGAGGAATCACTGGCATTCTGAATTCAAGAAAGTCCAACATGAATTGGTGACCTACAGTACCCAGGAAACGGAAGGCTTGTATTGGAGCAAGAAACACATGGGCTATCGCCAAGCTGAATTCCAGATTCTGAAAGCTGAGCTGGAAAGAACCAAAGAGGAAAAGCAAGAACTAAAAGAGAAACTGAAGGAGACAGAGATGCACCTGGAAGTGCTGCAGAAGGCTCAGGTCTCCTACCGGACCCCAGAGGGAGATGACCTAGAAAGGTTAATTACTAGGGTTTAGTTATCAGCTTGTGAGTGCTAATGGGAAGCATCCCTTAGGACCCCAGTTACTGGTCATAGATAAGGGAGGAAGTCTGAATCAATTCATACCAAGGCCACCAAGGATTGAGGAATTACTTCTTAGAGAGCTGCAGCCAGTCTCCCTGTGCTTGGTGGCATTGTGCTTTCTTCTTTCTTTGTAGCTAATGGAAACATAATTGTTGAGAAATGTAGGCCCATTTTTAAGGCGCTTCATTTTGTTCTGTTGGCTAATGACTTCATGTCATCTCTTCTCCTGCCCCCTCACTCCATCATACAGGGCTTTGGCAAAGCTTACGCGGCTGCGTATCCACGTCAGCTATCTCCTTACTTCTGTCCTCCCTCACTTGGAGCTTCGTGAGATCGGGTTTGACTCAGAACAAGTGGATGGGATCCTGTATACGGTGCTGGAGGCAAATCACATACTGGATTGAACACTAGACTATACACTCTATCTCCCCTCCTCTCCTCTCCTCTCCTCTCCTCTCCTCTCCTCTTCCTTTCCCTTATCTTCTCTCTCCTTTTCTCCCTCCCTTCCCCACTTCTCTCTCATTCTCTCACCTTTATGCCTTATTTAGAGAATCTTTGAGTAAATCCTTGCTCTTAATCAGTCTTCTTCTTATTCAGTTTGGTGTGAGAAAAGAGGCTAGTTCAATAGTCTTTCAAGAGTTCCAGGAACAGAAAAGCAGTAGTCACCAAACCAAGTGATCTGAAAGCTTTAACTTTCATGACTTAGGTACTTGACCTATTTTATATCCTTTCTGAAATGGTTTGTATTCATTTAGGTTAAATCAGTCAACAAATATTGGGTCCAATGTACTAGGAGTTTTGGAGTAAATTAAGATGTATAACTCATGGATTCAGCCTTCAAAGATCTAACAATCTAGTTGGAAACACAAGAGAAACACCAAGTTAACTAACGTACAAGATAGTAGTACAAGCATGATAGGGAAAGTCTGGAGGAGGAAGTTCAAGGAAGGCATCAGAAATGGGACATAAACTAAGGTTTGTTTAAAGAACAAGCATGATCACACTTAACAACTGTTGTTCTTTAGGTGGTAGGACTATGATTGATAATTTTTTCTTCTTGCTATCTTCCTGCCTTTTTCAAATTTTCTATAATAAATCTGTTATTCTTACATTGGAAAAAATAAATCATTTTTTAAAAGAATGAGTAGGCTTGGATTTAGATATCAAATGAGAGACTTGTGAAACTATAAGTTAATTTTATATTTATAATTTATGTTGTATCTCACATTACCTCTGGAAGAATAGCATGAACAAAGGCACGGAAAAAGCTAGAATGTGAAAAATGTGTTTAGTAGGAATGGTGGGTTAATGTAAAGGGAACTAAGGTTAAATTGTGACCCATCTACCCACCTCCCTCTGTGTTGTTTGCATTTTAATAAGGAATTCTTGGAAAAGAAATCTTCAAGGTCCAAATTAAAAAAACATGTATCATCAATCTGTGGGATTCAGGTAGTGAGGGAGCTATTTTAGAGCAGGGAGATCTATTTGATAGTCCTCAGAATACACCACCTTCCTACTCTTCAGGCTAGTGCTGAATGAAGGGTAGATCTCATATTATCAGAAATAGTAAAACTTATACTCTTGTAAAAGTAGACATATTGTTTATTCCTTGCTTTATTGTATTTATATAGTACATGCTCTCCAAAGAGTTCAAGGTACTCTTCAAAAGATGTTGAACATTGAACACATAAAAAACATAGCAACAGTGAAAACTATAAAGGAGAAATAATAAAAGGGAGGTGGGAATCAAGCAATCACAAATGGATTCACTAGTCCAGAGGAATGTTTTGGATATCTGTTGTTTCTCCTCTGCAGAATTACTTCAGAAGTTTCTCCCAAACTTATTTTATCTCCTTTGAAAGGAAGCCCATCATAGATATTCCAGTGAGACTGCAAGGAATAGGGGGAGGCCAGAGCCAGGCTTCACCATTAGAATAAGTACTTAAAATATCCCCTTCCCCCTTACCTTCACCTCACTGCAGCTCTAGCCTGCCACGTGATTATTTCTCATGTCAGACATTTGGACTATGATGTTGAGGGCCCCAGTTGTCTAAACATTACTCAGAGAAGGGGAGAGCACATTCAGCCATTCTATCAGTGATACTTGTTCTTCAGATGGGGGCTGTGAGAAGGTGGGGCTTTGCACAGATATAGACAACATGGATCAGAGGGTGATGTAGGAAAAAAAACAATCAGAGAATTGAGTTGAAGGTTCAGTGTGTGTGTGTGAAAGAGAAAGAAAAGAGATGTATGGGTGAGTGAAGGGACAGAATAGGGAAGCATATAGGCCATTGGGCTTTTTTAAAAAATGGAAAATTTTAACTCATCTTTACTATGCTTACTTTCAGCCCATTTCCTAGTCCCAACCCCATATTGCTTCTTCCAGCAACAGTTAACTGTGTGATTCTATTTACTACAATACCAGAGCTACCTCTTTTTTTCCTATTTACAATGAAATCCTACCAGATAAGGCCCCTTTAACCAATACTAAATGCCACAGTGGAGAGATCGAAAAGTGTCACTCAGCCTTACAAGAGCTTATGAAACAGTGTGGAAGCAAACGACATTCAGGAGAAAAAAGTGAGTGCTGCCCCCTGTCTATCTTATTAGGTTAACATAATCATAGTTCTCCTTTCAAACGTCTCTCACATTTGCCCCTTAACTTTCCATTTCCATAGTCAACAGTTAGGTTCTTATTATCTCACGTCTTGATCATTACAATAGATCCTTAACTGGCCTCCCTTGCCTCCTGTTCTCACTCCTTCAATCCACCATATTCACTATCACAAAATTGCTTTTAATGATATCACGTTATGCCTCTGCTCAAAGACTTGCAAGTGCTCCCAGCTGCCCACCAACTGCAATACAAATTCCCATCTGGCTTACACCATGCTCTCTAGACTCATCTTCCAACATTTCAAACAAACCATATTCCATCCAAAATGAACTATTTCTGGGCTTCTGAACCTGCTTTAATATTTTTGCCATTTCTACCTTTGCTATTCCATTCTCTTTGCCTGGAATGTTCTCCCTTATCAGCTTTCCTTTGGCTCAAATGTCAACTTTTTTTCCTGAAAATTCCTCTGATTAACCCAGCCAGATGACATTTCCTTTAAACATGTAAGTTTTGTGTCACTAATAAGGCTCTTATCACAGACTTCCTTGTCCTGTCTTCCCTGTTAGAGAACTCCAGATTAAAATATTCAGCCGCCTACTTGACATTTACATTTACATGTCTCACAGGTACTTCAAATAAAACATGTTATAAATAAACAGTGACACACCCTCCCCCAGGACTGTTCCTTCCCTCAGTTTTCCTCATTTAAAAATTGGTACCTCCGCCCATCTAGTCACAGCTAGAAACCTGGAAGTCATTGTAATTTTTCTCTTCTCTAGTCTTCCACATCCAGTCTGTCAGAAAGTGTGTCAGTTCTAACTCCAAAGTATTAGCTTGACTTCACTCACTTTTACTACAGCTACCTTAGTCCAAACTACTATCATCTCCCATAGATAATTGAAACTCCTAACTGGTGTCCTTGCTTTCATTTTTGTTCCCACAATTGTCCTATCACTATAGCCAGAGTGATTTAAACACACACACGCACATGCACACTCACAAATCAAATCACATGACTCCCTGCTTAAAGCCCTTCAATGACTTCTCATTGTATTAGAATAAAAGCTATATTCTTTACAAGGTGCTACAAGACCCCCTCCCTGCTTCTAGTTTTTCTCTTGCAACTCTTGATCATATCTCACTTTCCCCTGCTCACTGTGGTCTTACCACTGAAACATGTCAGTCTATGACTTAACGTCAGAGTCTTTATCTATACTGTTCCCTCTGCTTCAATGCTTATATCTCCAGTCTTGGCATGGCTAGCTATTCCTCACCCTTCAGGTCTTAGTGTGTCAACTTTCTCAGACAGGTCTTCCTAGCAACCATTTTTCTCTACCCTATTCTATCACTGTTTTCTATTGTGTTTAGTTCATAGCACTTTTCACAATTTGCAGTTATATATTTGGTTGTTTACTTTCACTCATTCAACAAATATTTATTGGGTATATGTTATGTGCTGTTTGATATTCAGTGGTGAACAGAACACACTTGGTCTCTGTCTGCCACTTTCACTAATAAGTTCCACGAAGGGAAGGGTCGTGCCTGTTTTTGCCAATCACTGTATCCTCAAGCTTATCGTAGTACCTGGTATATAGTAGGTAATCAATAAATAATTGTAGTGGTGGGGACTGTTTTTTGTCCATATCTCCCTCTCTCTCAAGAGCCTTAAATAGTGCCTCATTCACCGAAGAGGTTGGATACATACAGTATCAGTGAGGTAGATTGCAATCCTGGACATTAAACTCTGAAAATGAAAGACTGAGACAAAAAATGGTACAAGTTATGGGGGACAGTCAGTGTGAGCTGGAGTGGCCTAGTGTTTCTCTTTAGCTGATCTTCAATTTGAATAATTAGAAAGGCTACCAAAGGAGAAAGGGAATATGGATGTTCTCACAGGCATTCTGAATATTATCAAAAGGAAGCTCCTTAGCATGCAATTTTGAAATACTGATAATTACAGAATATAATCAGGAGAAGTCTATTGAGACCAGATCTTGAGAGTAAGAAGTAAAAAGAGGGAAAAAAAATTCTGGGGAGTCTTTTGTGCACTTTTTCCAAGAGCAGCAACAGTTTGTTTCAAAAGAAAAGGAACTATCCATAAGCAAAGGACAGAACAAGCTTCACGGAAGTAAGTTCCTGGCACATGTGAGGAAGGCAATACAAGCTTGTTGGATGAACAAATTGGCACCTAGCAGAAGACTAGGTCAGAGACTTTGTGGACCCAGGGGACAGGAAGATTTGCTTGCCTATGTCCAGTGATTGCAAATAATTGGGGTAATAATTGGAGGCAGAGACTTGTCTGGCTCTGTTTCCAAGGGCCATGTCCAGATAGAATGTGTTTCAGAGTTCTGTGCTATGAATTAAAACCTCTTTCTTTAGTACACTGTTAAGAGTGAAGTATGGAGGTATGCTCAGGAAAGCTTCAGGGGGTAAGCTCAGGTTAAGTCAATAGTAATTTCCCCAAAAGAATAACTTATGCTTGGTGACAAGGACATTCCTAATTCAGGACTTATCTTAGGCAGAGAGGACATTCAGGAACCATACTTTCTTAATCAAAAGTTAGGGCATGCCCTGCCTGGTAGCTTAGTTGGTTAGAGTATCATCCTGATAGCCAAGGTTGTGGGTTTGATTCCCAGTCAGGGCACATACAAGAAGCAACCAATGAATGCATAAATAAGTGGAACAACAAATCGATGTTTCTCTCTCTCTCTCTCATTCATCTCTCTCAAATCAATAAATAAAAAAGGGCACATGATTAGTTAATAAATTAGATAATTTGAACTGACTTAAATAGTTTGGGGTATATTAATCTTTTAGTCATTAATTAAACATAAGTAGCATTCACATTCTGA